TGATTGAGACAATCTAGTTGACAGAAGTTATCTTTGTCTCCTGCACAGGGGTTCAAACAGCAACAGGGCACAGCATTGCTTCATGCTTCATCGTAACACTGCCAGCTTCAGGCAGAAATGAGGGAGACAAAGGGAAAAGGGTGAAGGAAAAATGGAAGAATGAAGTCTGTACAGGGTAGAGCAGCAGAAAGTAACCTTTAGGTGCCTCCAGTGACACTAATGGGTACCTGTCACCTTAGCAAGCATCACATTAAACTATTTATCGCCACTGCCTGTACTCCACTCCTGCAATTAAGAAATCTTAGAGTGGCGCCCATAGCACAGTGGTTGGACACCAGCCATAACACCAAGGCTGGCACGTTCAAACCTGGCCCAGGGCCTGCTTAACAATGACAACTCCAACAAAAAAATAACCAGGCATTGTGGCAGGCAGCTAAAGTCCCAGCTACTTGGGAGACCGAGGCAAGAGAATTACTTAAGCCCAACAGTTTGAGGTTGCTGTTAGCTGTGACACCACGGCATTCTACCAACGGTAACATAGTAAGACTGTCTCAAATGAAAAAAAGAAATTTGAGGAGGAGAGGACTAGGGAATCATTGGTATAAGTGGGCTGGAAAGAACTTCAGACTTTATACATATAGCACCTCATTTGACCTCAGAGTTAATTCTAAATACTTCTGAATCACACTCGTTGCTTTAGTAAGGTTGAGTGGTTTGGGATCATATGACCCCTAGATCGTGTCTGCCTGGCATTTATGTGAAAGTCTTAAGTTCTTCGCTATTCTAGGCGGTTCCCACTTTGATGATGCCTGTGAGATATCACTCCTGTGGACCACTGTACCCAGTCAATGGGGGACTTGGCTGCTACAGGCTTCTCTATGCACATAGGTAGCATTTAGATGAATATCTCAGCTAATCACTAGCCACTAGTAATGTGGCTGAGTAGTGGATAGTTTGATGATTTTGGAGTACTAAATATGCTTATTCTTTGTTTGGGGAGGCTGTTGCTAACACACAAGCTTGTCCAGTCCTTGCATCTGTTTCTGATCATGAATAAAGCCTTGTTAAAGAGAAAGGTCTAGTCTTAGTCCTTGGCAATTAGTTTAGGAAAGATGGTGGATAGATAGTTATGTCTACCTGTATTCATTCATGTATGTCTAGGCACTTTGGGGAGTACCCCAGTTCATCTGGGAGGGACAATCCCCATGTGTTGTATGAATAACCAGGGAACTGCAACATATGGTTCATGCTTAGAGAAAGTCTGTCATAGTGACAGGAAGGTAGTTTCTCTGGACCTGGCCATAAAGGCCTCATAAATAGTTTCAGATGGATAGCTTGTGTAGAGATGATGAGCTGAGGTTTCAGTGAACAATAAAAGCTTGCTTGGTTGTCTCAGATGGACTGTGGAAAATAGCCAAAGAATATACTTTTCATTAGCAAGAAAGAGTCATACCTAGGAAATGAGTTTTTGATGGTGAAACAATTAGATAACTCCATTTTGATTCTACTATTCCATTTCATGAAAGAATTATATTAGAAAATCTTGATGAACAAGATTATCAGATATGCCCTGATAATAAAAAATTAATAATGGGGGTGGCGCCTCTGGCTCAGTGGATAGGGTGCTGGCCCCATATACCAAGGGTGGTGGGTTCAAACCCAGCCCTGACTGAATTTGCAACAACAACAAAAAAAAGCTGAGTGTTGTGGCAGACACCTATAATCCCAGCTGTTCAGGAGGCTGAGGCAAGAGAATTGCCTAAGCCCAGGAGTTGGAGGTTGCTGTGAGCTATGACAGCACAGCACTCTAC